TCTTCTTGTTGGGGAGGAGGTCCTTCAAGTACTTTGCATATTTGGGCATCTTGGTGAGGGCCTCCACGAAAGGGATGTTGGGGTGCAACTGGTTCATCAACTTTATGAAGTGAGCAAACACCGCTGCCATACGGTCATTGAAGAGTCGAGAAGGATAGGTGATGAGTCAATATTTACACATGTTTTTGTCCGCCATTCTTATACTGTTGAGGCTCGGATCTCGGGTTTTAAGCTGATTTTACGCTAGGTTGTTCTTGTTTATGACATTTCAGGTCCTAATGCGTAAATGAAGGTTTGACCACGAGTTTGGAGTCGATTGGGTGAAATCAAGATGAGCAGAAGGAGATTAGACAACTTGCACTTCCAGAACGGGAATATGCACGGTCGTGCATCGTGGCCTTGTGGCCGTGCAAGATATACCAAGATGATGCACGACCTGACCCTGTTGTTCGCACGGCCGTGCAATATGAATTGGTGGCCGTGATGATTTATGTGAGGGACCTGCACGGCCAGGCTCTCACATTGCACGGGCCGTGCACTCCCTGGTGGAATTAACTGAAACGACGCGTTTTGGGGGTGCATAGGCAGACTATGAGGTTGCACGCCCGTGCGGTCTGGCAGTGCAATCGCGGACAAATGCTTCTTAACCCAATTTCGGGTTTTGGAGAGTGGAGACGAATTTTCAGAGCAAAAACACAGTCCTAGAGAGAGAGGTATCGGTTAGCATGCTAACCTTTCTAAGGGGTTGGAAAAATGACACCCCTATTAATTATAGTTATATTTTGTATTAAATTCGTGTTGCATTTAATAATCTTTGGAAATTAAAAACTCATCTTAATTACATTACTTTTTTTAACTACCATTGCACTGATACAACTACCATTGCACCTGTATACTGAACTCATATTAATTACGTTCCTTTTTTGGAACTACCATTGCACTGATACATCTACCATTACATATGTACACTAATACCATTGCACTGATACAACTACCAGTGCACTGAAAAAAGGAAAGTAATTAATATGTGTTTTTAATTCATATAGATTACTAAATGCAACAGAAATTAATTATCTTAAAACCTATAATTAATAGGGGGTGTCATTTTTCCAACCCTTTTAGGGGTAGGCATGCTATCTCATCCCTAGAGAGAAAGTGCGAAGAACAAACCCTATGATTGATTTTGGAGCTGGGTTTCATCAATCAATCTTGGATTTCGTCCTTCCAGTGAAGACTTTTGGTTTGAGATACTGCTTGATTATAATCGATTGAAGTGTGTTTATTGAGTCAATCGAAGCATGATCAACTTTTCTTGATTTCTGCTGCAACTTGAGATAGATAGAATATGATTAGGTTGTTAGAGCTTCTTCAATAGATAGTAGTAAATTGATTATATGAGAGTTAATCGATTCACTACTTTGTAGTAGAATCCAATTCCAGTAGTAGAGTTCTGTGTTAATTGCCTTAGCATTTTATCCCGGCGAAGGCTAGTCACCTTCCGGGTAGTCTGTCTGAGAGGGCTTGGTCAGCTTAAGAGATTCCAAGTTACTGTCGGATCTTCCGCAATTTAATCAACAGTAAATCAACCAAAGGAAATCACAACTTGGACCTAATTAAGGAGCTAGGGGGACTCATTCCCAAGTGACTCTCCCATTGCTTTTGAAAATTGAACAATTTCCTGCTTTCTTACTGCTTTTGTTTACAATCACTCTCACTAAACTTAGGCCCGCTAGATAATAGATAATCATGGAGTAGGCAGTAGATCTAGACCCCGGGTTGATAAATTGAACTTGCCACTATTCTGCATTTCCGGAATGCTTTTATACTTGGTCGTAGATTGGTGTTCTGTCGTAGCGTGTCAATAGAGAATACTTGGAGTTGTTTTTCCCCTCCTCTACTCCGGTGGAGGAGTCAAATCGACCTTCCCCATCCGTTTTCACTCTTGTGCCCTTGTTGCTCGGGGAAACTACCCTTCTTGCTCTTTTGTCTCGGACGGCTTTTTCTTTGGAGGTAGCTCTTTCGCCTCTCTCCCACTTTGAAGAGTAACCGCCCTTACTCCTGGTTCATAGAATTGCTTCCGGGAAAGATCTGCCTATGAGATAATTCCCACACTTGTGGTCAAGGTTGTCAAGAGTGATTGGTGACTTTGCAACCCCGCCTCTATGGTTGACAATTTCACACCCGCCTCCCCTATGAACCTCTCAATTTTTTCAATCTTCTTAGAGGTGGAGTCGACAAAGGTGGTCACTAACTCCTCCAGACAAGACATCCGAGTGGTGTGCATAGGGGAGATAGAGTTCAACTACTCGTAATAGGTCGTCTCCTTGTTCATCATTTGGCACTCTGCTACCTAATAGCCCGAACTTGCACCCCACACGTAGGGCACCAACGACTCCTTCCCTTCCTTTTTGTCCTCAAGGATCACCTCGATCAACTTTTCAAGTTTTTGTTCAAGTGGAGCACTTGCTCCCAGACTTCTCACTCCACTTTTGGTGCTTTTCTTACCACTCCTCATCAAGCCCCAATCATAACCTTTAAGAGCCATATCTTCAAGCAATTCGGTGACTTGAGGCGCGGTCATGTTCATTAACCTCCCTTGGCAAAGGGAGTCGATAAGGATCTTGTCATCTTGAACGAGACCATCATAGAAAGTCTCTATCCGAAATTGCTCTTTGAACCCATGTTGAGGGCAATGGAGGAAGTAGTCTGAGAACCTTTCCCATGCATCCCTCAACGTCTTATCCTCCTCTTGCTCAAAGTGGGTAATCTTCTGCCTCCACTCGGTCGTTCCTGCACTCGGCCGTCTTGGGAGGAGGACAATATCGGGTCATGAATTTGTTGAGAAAATCGTCCCATGAGGTAATGGAGAGAGCTGGGCGGTTGTTGAGTCATCAGAGCGCTTTCCCCGCAAGAGAGTAGGGGAATAGCCTCAATTGTAATGCCTCCGCGGAGACACCATTAATCTTTACACTTCCCGCAAGCTCAAGGAACCGTTGAATATGCTCCCTCAGTGATTCATTGGAAAGCCTGTGAAACAAGGTATTGTTCTGAATCATCGTGACTAGGGAGGACTTGATTTCAAAGTTGTTGGCGGCCACGGGCGAATGTAATATGGGAGATTGGATATCCGCCGCCTGTAGTTCCATGTAATAAACCATCATCCTCGGTTCTTCCTCGGCTCCCACCTCCACATTTGGATTCGGAGCCGGATTGGCAGCTTGTGGTTGGGTTGCCGCCATCTCAATTTCAACTTCACCTTCTACTTCAAACCTTCTTACTCCGGGACCAACTTGATGTACCCTCTCTTCAATTCTCCTTCTTGCTTCTACTAACTCCCTCTCTCGAGCCAAGAGTCGGAGAGTTCGGTTGATGTCCTCGTCTAGTGGCGTTAAAGGTGTCGGATTGATCCAGGTCATACACCTCCCAACACACACTTAAAGAACACAACACGTCTAGCACAAGCACACTTCAAACTTACAAAGCTGAAAATTAAAAGCTAGATTAACACCAAACAATCTTTTCACAATAACGGACCGAAGGTCTCCGACAACGGAGCCAAAAACTTGACTCGCTCGAACTGTCACAATAAAATCCCACCTAAAGTCCAAGTATAAATCTTAGATGGGTGAAATATAGGGCAAGTATTTTTAAATATCGACCCGGGCCAGTCCATGTACTGCTGCTTCAACTTTTTGAAACATTATCTAGCAAATTGGTTTTAGGTGAAAACAACGATCTATGACTAAAACGTTTGGAAAAGTAAATGGATTGGACACTAATTGAAAAGACTTCACCCGAGTGTTGCTCCCCATAGCTAGCGATTACACTCATTGGATCGAATGCTCGTGTGTGGTGAGGGTGGTTGTAAACCGTAGGGAAGTCTAACAAGTAGCTAAAACTACCCTCTTGGTCTCTAGGTTGAGGACAGGGGATACAATCCAAGCCACAAATGCGGCCCTCGCCACCTCGACTAAGGATTAGTTAGACTTCACCCTCGAATTGGAGTTCGGAAGGTCACCCACAACCAAACCCTAGGTGGTAATACGAAATAGGAGGTTCACCCCGCATTAACCTAACTAGGAGACAATGAATTTCTACGAAAACCGAGCTTTTAAGCGTCTTTCAAAGAATGGAAAGGGGGGGTTTTCTCTCTACCTAGGTTAGAATGATAATTAGATTGATAAGATTTCACACAACACAATCATTCATGAATAATACCTCCACATTCACATTAAACACAACCATACATAAATCATTCAATTCATACAAGCAATTACATAATTGTAGCTAGGGTTCACAACCACTTAAGTGAAAGAAGGGACTACTCCATGCTGGAGGTGGGAAAACACAAGGGAAAAGAAGGAAACCCATCAAAGAGATGCAAGTGTTGCTCCTTGTGCTGAAGAGATCCTCCTTTGGGGGAGGAATTCCCAATTCCTTGCTTGGAGATGAAACCCTAACTTCTCCACTTCTTTGGTTCATCACTTTCTCACTCTAGAAATCTGAAGAAGGTGAAGTTTCTCACGCTAGGTCTCCCTTTCTCCTTTATGTTGACCTTTTAAACAGAGATCGCGCCCAGTTCACGGCCGTGAACATCAAGATGCGTCCGTGAATGCAGTGAACTGAACCAAAACACACCGCTTCACTTCTGGGGTTCATGGTTTGTGGTTCCTGTTCAAGGTCTTAGCGACCGTGAACATGCTTAGCGACCGTGAACAGGCTTAGCGTCGGTAACTTCAAAACCCCCTCTGATCGCATCACAGTTCATGGTTTGTGGTTGCACTTCACAGTCTTGGAGACCGTGAACTACAATGCTGGACCGTGAACACAGGCTGGATCATCCTCTTTGCTTGGTCTTTGCTCATTTCCTTCCAACTTCCGACTTCAGGGGTGGCTTCACCTATTAGATTCTAAAACACACTGAAACACACAAAACCTAGTATAAAACCATCGGTTCGCCGATTAACCAAAGATGGCAAACCGACGCAAATCGACAAGCCTTAAACTATGTCGTTTGGACGTCGTCTAAAACATCTCAACCCTAGCTGTCTGGGTCCTCGAGTCACACGACACACAGTTACACACCAGACACCACCCTGCCGCCTCCATCCTCCCCTCCCATCGACATGCCCCAGCGGCCAACGACCATCAACGACGAAGGTCGTCGTCTCCCTGCATAGCCGACAACCGACTTTCCGTGACGCACGCCGAACCCTCGAAGGCTCGACCGAGGCTTCCTTGACCTCCCTGCCTGCGCTAGGCCTGCCAGCCTTTCCGAGCCGACGCGACGTCCTCCTCCTCCGCCTTCTCCCTCCCCCACTGGCGCCAGGACCCGCCATCATCTCATCTCCAGCCGAGTCGTCGTCGTTCGCCATTTCACTGCCAATTTTGAAGTTCAATTATGTAAGTCAGTTTTGGTGGAAAGGTTGATTTGAATGGTTGATGATGATTTTGATTGATGGTGGTGGCCTGATGATTCCCACGGTTAAACAGAACCAAAAACAAAAAACTGGTCGGTCGGTGTCGGCTAACTGTGGTTAGAGGACCGATCGGTGGTCGGCTGGTGTTAGTGGTGGCTCGGTTTAACCGATAACCAAGAAATCAATTTTTGGTTAAACCGAAATCGACTGACTGACAGCCCTAATTGGTGGTAATATCATCATCGCCACAACCAATCAATTTAACCATGTTGAAACGTCCCCTGCCAATACCTTATTATTATTAAGATCATTATTATCAACTTCACACGTTTTCTCTCGTGCCTCTCCATTAATTACCTTTAGGTTGCTAAACCTGTTACCATAGCCAGTCGCCGGCCTTTCTATTTTCCCAACCCAAATTCGCTCGATGGAGGTTTAAAAGGAAGAAACACTGCTGCTTCTCCCATCTTGTGTCCCCAGCAAAACAGAAGATAACAGCTCAGGCACCCAGCAAACTCAAAATTGAAGATGCAGAGCAGCGAGGGACTTGACCAAAACTACTGCGTTTTGCGTCTTAAATCTTCAATGTCAAAACAAAGACGTTTAGCACTCTGTTGCTTTTCTTTTCTGCCAAGCATCGTACTTGTTTCCTTTTCAAGGAAAAGAACAGAACATAGACACAATGAAACACTGTTGTCTTGTAGTGTTCAGTGTCATGTATTTAAGCTAAGAGATGGAATGAGAAACACAAGCCTCTAGGGTATCACTTCATCTAAACATTTTGTTATGGTATCAAAACCACTAACCTAGCTCTTGTGCCGCCTCCATGGATGGACAACCCTCCACGAATGAAGCTAATCTCAAAAAATGAAGTGAACACAAAGCACCCTCAGCCACAGCACCAGCTACCTCCCAACGTTTACCAGATGGAGGATCCATTCTACCTCCATGGTTCTGAGCAGTCTAGTGTCCTTGTTGCTGAGAAACTCACCACCACAATTTACAATGACTGGAGAAGGGCTATGACAAATGCCTTGGCTGCAGCAAACAAGTTTGGCTTTGTTACTGGTACTCTTCTTATGCCAGATGACTCCGATCCTCTCTAAAGCTCCTGGAAACGCAACAATGTCATGATTCTGAGCTAGATCCAGCAAGTTGTTGTTCTAGAGATTAGGAAGACCATTCTCTCCATCAAGACTGCTTCTGATGCTTGGCGTAGCCTGCAGATCAGATATGGTGCTTGAGATATAATCAGGGTTGCTGAGTTAGAAGAAGCACTTTCAAATCTAATGCAAGGTAACCAAACCATTACTGAGTACTATGGTCATGTTATTACACTAAAAGATGAGTAGATAATTACAAGCCAATCTTCCCCTTTGATTGTACTCCTACAAGCTATGTCGACTGTCGAGCTATGAAGAAAGTCCTTGAGTATCATGATACTAACTATGTGATTAAGTTTCTAAGGAGCTTGAATGAAAACTTTGCTTCAGTTCGATCTCAAGTTCTATTTGGTGAAGAATTACTTACAATCATACGAGTTTTTCAGCGCATGTTACAACATGAAAGGAAGTTATATGGGGCTCAAAAGGGCAAGATTGTAGCTACTGCTATATATGATTCCATGGCACTCTCTGTGCAAGGAAGCAACAAGAGATAGAATCCTAATTCTAAGCGACCTCTGTGCACTTACTATAAGAAAGAAGGTTATACTGAAGATGTATGTTATCAAAATCATGGCTACCCTTCTACGATGCAACAAAGGGACAGTGGTTCACAAAACAGATCTTATAAATGCACCTTCTGTAGGAGGCAAGGCGACATTGAAGAGAGATACTTTTTTAAGCATGGTTTTCCTCAAAATGTGAACCATCAAACTGCCCCAAACCCTCCTCCACAAGGCAATTAGTTTGCTAATGTTGCCTCTACTAATTAAGATCAAGAGGTCAAACTGACCAGGGTTGATTATGACAAGTTAATGAGTCTCATGAACTAAGGCAAGTCCTCATCACCTTCTTTTACTACTACTGCTTATGTCAAGAAGCATGATAGTTTAGGTATTTCTATCTTACCGGTCCCACATGTCTTCCATGAAAATAGAAATAATATGATTTGGATAGTTGATACAGGAGCATCATATCACATTATGTGCTCTCTTGAATTCTTAATTGACTACCGAAGAGTGAATAATGTTTTCATTACCCTTCCTAATGGAGAACAAATCCAGACTACCCACATTGGCACTGCCAAATTCACATCAGATCTAACTCTACATAGAGTTCTTTTTGTTCCCCATTTCACCTTCAACCTCATCTTAGTCAGCAAACTGACCAACCAAAAATCCCTTTGCCTAACCTTCTATTATGACTTTTGTCTCATACAGGACTTGGAGATGAAGAAATGACTGGTTCTGCTAGACTTACAAATGACCTTTACCTTTTAGAAGTAATTTAGCCACCTAAAATCATCACTGCAAGCAGGGCTTCATTTTTTACTTGTGGCATTTTAGACTTGGTCACCTCTCCCACGACCTGGATCATTCTTCTTAAACTTAAATCTGAAGCTAGACCCCAATTCATTGCATTCTACAATCTTGCTAAAACACAGTTTCAAGCTCAAGTTAAAAAGAGATAGAAGTGACTAGGGGAGGGAGTTCCAAATGGATGATTATTATACTGAACATGGAATTGTGCATGAGATATCTTGTGTTGAGACACCCCAGCAAAACAATAAGGTAGAGCGCAAGCACCAGCACATTTTAGCTGTTGCTCGAACTTTATAGTTTCAAGCTTCTCTTCCTTCTGTTTTCTAGGGTGATTGTGTCAAGCAATCTATTTTCCTAATCAATAGAGTGCCCTCCATTGTTCTACACAACAAAACACCTTTTGAAAAATTTCATAATCATCCCCTAGACCTCAACGACCTCAAAGTGTTTAGCTGCCTTTGTTTTGCAAACACTTGTCAAATCACAAAACCAAGTTTCAGCCACCAGCTAGAAAATGATTTTTCATAGGTTATGTTTCAGGAATCAAAGGCTAAAATATCTATGACCTAAATTCCCATGACACTTTTGTTTCTAGGGATGTTATTTTCTATGAGTCTCACTTCCCCACCTGATCCTACTTTACTTTCCTCATACCACCTGTTTCCCCTAAACCAACCTTTCCCTCTCCCTGATGACTTCCAAGCTTTCCCAGCTCAGGCACCCCAACCAACAAATTCAAACCATCCTACCCATTCCAATCCACCTTCTCCTATGGTCTCACATTCTACCCCTACTTCCAATCCCTCTACTTCCAGTTCTCCACCACCACCCTCACCACCACCATCCCAACCCCTTAGACGATCTGACAGACATATCGAACCGCTCACTCATCTAACCAAAGACTACCATTGCTGACTTCTTCATAAGTCTAGCAACACCAGTGGTTCTTCTCCTCTCCAGGCTCCTGACAAAGTACCCTCTTTCCTCTGTCCTTTCTTATGACAAACTCTCATCCCATTACATACATTTTGTTCTAAGTATCTCAACTTATCAAGCTCCCAACTCCTACAAAGAAGCCTCACTCTCAGACCAATGGAATGTTGCTATGCAGCAAGAGATCAAAGCTTTACTCAAAAAAGGACTTGGGATGTTATGAATCTACCACCAGGTAAAAAGCCTATTGGTATCAAATGGGTATACAAGATGAAATTTGAATCAGATGGCTCATTGGATCGTTTTAAGGCTAGGTTTTTTGCTAAAGGTAACACTCAACAGGAAGGGGTGGATTACCAAGATACTTTAGCTCCTGTAGTTAAAATGACAACAGTCAGGACTTTTCTAACTATTGCAGCTCAAAGAAACTGGCATATTCCCCAACTTGATGTGAATAATGCCTTCCTCCATGAAGATCTCCAGGACGAAGTTTACATGACACTAACTAAGGGTTACACACCACCTCCTAGATTCCATACCCCTGTTTGTCGTCTTCGCAAATCATCGTATGGACTAAAGCAGGCTACAAGCCAATGGTTCTCTAAACTCACAGATGGCTTAATCTAGGATGGTTATTCTCAAAGGCAGGCTGACCACTCTCTCTTCTACAAGGTTACTGATGCCAGTTACACTTGCATTCTTATATATGTTGATGATTTGGTAATTGGTGGCAATGATTTAGCTGAAATTGAACATTTCAAAACAAAGCTTCATACCCAATTTAGCATCAAAGATCTTGGACATCTTAGGTTCTTTCTAGGCATTGAGGTTGCTAGAAATTCCAAAGGTATTCACTTGTCCCAACGAAAGTATACACTTGAGCTCACTGAAGAAGCATAGGTTATGGATTCAAAATCAGTCACTACACCTATGGACTACACATTATATCTCAGTGGTGCTTGTGATGAACCCTGCCCTGATCCAGAGATGTACAGAACGCTAGTTGGCAAACTAATCTACCTAAAAACTACATGTCCTGACATCAGATACGCTACTCAACAAGTTATAAAGTTCATGGTTTACCCTAGAATCACACACTACAAAGCAGTTGATAGAATTTTACGCTACCTAAAGAATGATCCAACTTCTGTTCTCTTTTCCCTTCCTCTAGCTCAGCTCTCTTCAGCTCAAGGCCTTCACTGATTCGGATTGGGTAGCATGCACCGACACTCGCCGCTCAACCACCAGCTACTGTGTCTATCTCGATGAATCTCTAATCTCTTGGAAAAGCAAGAAGCAGAAGACTATTTCTCGCTCTTCCTGCGAAGTTGAATATCGTGCTTTGGCCTTCACCGCCTGCGAACTCCAATGGTTGCTTTATCTGGTTTGAGATTTTCAGGTACCCCATCATCAGCCTGGCAGGCTCTTCTGTGACAATCACAGTGACATCTACATCGCCCACAATCCAACATTCCACGAGCGGACGAAGCACATCGAACTGGATTGTCACCTCGTCTTCGAAAAGTTGTTGAAAAACACCATCAAACTGCTCCATGTGCCTTCCAACAGCCAATTGGCGGATCACTTCACCAAACCCCTTTCACCGGCGCCTTTTCATCTCTCTTGTCCAAGCTTGGTGTGTTGAATTTGTGCCCACCAGCTTGCAGACGGGTAACAGCTCAAGCACCAAGCAAATTCAAAATTGAAGATGCAGAATAGCAAGAGACTTGACCAAAACTGTTGCGTTTTACATCTTCAGTCTTCAATGTAAAAAAAAAGTCGTTTAGCACTATGTTGCTTTTCTTTTCTGCCAAGCATCGTATTTGTTTCCTCTTCAAGGAAAAGAATAGAACATAGACACAATGAAACACTTTTGTCTTATAGTGTTCATTGTCATGTATTTAAACTAAGAGATGGAATGAGAAACACAAGCCGGCTAAACAAAACCTCTAGCAACGCCTACCCCAAACACCTAACCTCCACGCTACCATCATTGTCATAAAAGTCAGCGTTTCTCCTGGTGTCGTAGGGGTAAGGTTCCCCATCTCGTCTGTCCCTAAGCTCGTTTTCAGGCCTAAACTAACCCGATTAATGTCGTGTTGATCATAGCTCCGTCGACGGTACCGGCGTATTCAAACTCAACCAACTTTCAGAAACTTGGTACCACCACATAGAGAGAGATCTCAGGAGCATCTCGATTTTGACGGAATAGAATTTCGACGTCGAACGAGAGAGGTACGAGTGTCGATAGTTTGGGACGCAAAATAGAGAATTCAGGTACCAGTATAAGGATCCATACAGTAATTTTGTTATAGTGTGCAACAAAATATTCGCATTAGGTCATCATATTCTTGTTGTCGTACTGTATGTATTTTCATGGTTTGACAATTTTATAAATAGGATAAAATCAATAGAATGTTTGGATATTAATTTGAGAATTTTTTGAACTGCTGTTCTAATTATAAAAATTAGAAGGAATACAAGTTTAGTTAAATAATATATTATTCAAACGGTTTTGGAGAATTTGTTAATTTTATTCGAAGCCATAGGATCGAATTTTTTTCCAGAAATTATTTGGCAAATTTTAGAGACGATTCGCTAGTTATAAAAATTCAAATTGTTTCGGTTTTAAATTATTAAATTACTATAAGAATATATTTATTACATTTTTTATTTTAGGTGAAACTAGAGTATATCATCTACGTTAAAATTTGAGAATCAGAATTTTAGACATTTATAGCATAGGATTAAAATATTTTATGTTAAATTAAATAAGAAGAAAGGGTTAATTAGGGTGTAAATATTAGTTAATGATTTTTGTTTATGTTTTGAGTTATTAGAAGTCAGAATTTGTAGTTTTGAGAGGTAAGGAATTTTTGGAAAATTCATGAGAATTTTTAGGAGATTTATGTAAAGATTATTTAATTAGTTAAAATGAGTTAAGGCCTTTCTTTTAAAGAATTTTGGGACTAAGCTAGGAGGACGGAAAATCTTACGGAATACCGACTACGAGAAATTTATCTCGGTTTATAGGATTGAGGAAGCATCAAGTTAAGGGACTCCACGTCCAAAGAAG